GAAAAATGTTGAAAAAAACTCTAAATCATGTCACAGACTCTGCATCACTCTGATATCACCAAACAAAAACACTGCATAATTGCATCATATATAGTTAATGCTCTGAACTTCCATATCAATGCATTTTTTTGGACCATGTTTTTTGTCCCGCAATGTTTACATCTGATAACCGCTGCACTTTAAGAAACGGAAATGTCGTGAGAGCTGTACAAAACGAAATTTCGCTTGGTGTAAACTGTGTATACAAACTGACCATAAATGTTTTCTAAGTCATTATTTAAAAAAAGAGGCCATTTCAACAGCTTTCCTGGTTGTTTTCATAGAGCAACAGAACCTCTACATCAGAACAGAAGAGAGGTAGGTTGGTGTTCTAGGTAAGTGTTGCACCAACAATATGGGATAAGAATCAGACTGCTCAGAGCGCATCCTTCCTCATAAAGAAAAAACTGAAGAGGACCTTGGGTTTCATTTCTTCCTCTGCCTTTGCTTCACACCTTAAAGCAAAATGCTAACAAAGAAAGTAGGAATGTGGCTTCCTCACCGTGTCGACCCCTCCCAGCATCAGCTCCGTCACACTGATGTAGATTTCAGCTCGGCTCAGCTTGTCGGATGACAGCAGGTATGTCAGGTACATGCCCTCTGCAGGCTCCCCGCTGCACATCTGGGCTTTCAGTTCAGCCGTTCTTCTGTCCACCAGTTTCTGAGCTGCAGAGCCGAGGACGGCGTTACTGAGACCAACCTAAAGGACTCTTCCATTTGTGCAGTGACATACCTACATCGTAAAGGTCGTCCCAGGCCTGGACGAAGCGCTTCCAGAAGGGGAGGATGCTGCGGCTCCAGCGTGGCATCAGGATAACAATGTCAGACAGCGTCAGCATGTTGTTGACAGCAGCTATGAAGCGCAGTGTGTCTTCGGGGATCTCCTCCTGCAGGCAGCCCAGCCTGGTCTCAAACAGGACAGCAGAAATACCTGCAGGGTGGAGGAGTCACAACCTGCTCCGCCTTCATCATCTACAAGTCTGGACCTGCAGCAACTCCCACCTTCAAAGCCAAACTTGTAGAGCTCAGCTGCCAGATTACGAACTGTGGCCCGGTCTGGACTGCGACTGCGAAGAAGCTCCACCCGTCCCAGCAGGTCTCCCACCACCTGGTGGATGACGGGGGCGTAGGCCGAAACCTCCTGCAGCTTCAGCATCTTGGGGTTCAGGACGCTGCGGATCCGGTACCACTCTGGCCCTGTCCTGCACATTCACAGGAAACTGTTGGAGTTTCTCTGGATCAGACGGTTAGGAGAAGTTCAAATAAACACCAGATGGATCAGGAAACCACATCTAAAAAGGTTAAAGGGATTCTAAAGATACACATCCACTTATTTTTAAATCTTAATGTTGTTTAGGAGAATTAAACCAGAGATGAAGAACTGAATCAGTCTTTCGGATCAGAGGTGAAACATCTTCTGTCATCTATCTATCAATGACTGTGGCGTCCTGGACGTCTAAGAATCGACACCCTGGATCGACCTAAATGCTCCAAACTCACTCCACATGCAGGCCGTACGCCTGTCCCCTCAGGTCCCGGTACTCCTTCCAGTGAGGCAGTTCGATTCGGATCGGGTAGCGGCCTTCCTGCTGGATCACCTGAGCTATGAGCTCTGGAGACGCTACGTTGACCATGTCGAAGGGACCGAACCTGGAGCGCCAGATGGGACCGTACAGTCTCTTCTGTAAACACTGGAGAAAAGATGGCTGCCTGTTAAAACGCTTTTAAAGTCACATCCGTCTGTTTTCCAAACATGCCTGCTTGTCACTTTCACATGGTTTTATTTCTGGTAG